GGGGGGAGGGGCAGGCAGGGCCTGCAGCCATGGAGCTGGGTCCTGATGGTGGCAGGCAGTCAAAGCAGAGAGAGGAAGGTGGGAGGATGGAACCCCCGGGAATCTTCCCAGCATCTCACATGGATCTCACAGCCTGGCTCCCCCAAGGGTCCTTGGGAAACAGATGGGACTCCCAGAAAACAGGGCTCTCTTATTGCTGGGGCATGGGCATATGGAGATAGATAGATAGATAGATAGATAGATAGATAGATAGATAGATAGATAGATAGATAGATAGATAGATAGATAGATAGATAGATCAATAGGATGGAGGGGAGACAGTATAGCTACGGGGTAGATAGGGATCTAGAGAGCGAGATTAGATGTTAACATTCTAAGGGTACGGCTACTCTAGCTCATTAGTTCGAGCTAGGTAGGGTAATGAGGGCAAGCGGAGTTGCAAATGAAGCCCGGGATTTAAATATCCTGGGCTTCATTTGCATGTGCCCAGGTGCCACCATTTTTAAATCCCCCTTAGTCCGAACTCCGAGCCCGCGGCTACACCCGGCATGGAGTAGGTAGTTCGAATTAAAGATCCTAATTCGAACAACTGTTACTCCTCGTGGAATGAGTGGGGTAGACATACCCTAACTTGATTTCCCAGCCTCTCGGTGTGAGCCCCCCACTTGCCCTGTGCAGAGATTCTTGGCCCAGCAGCGTTTCCATCACTATTTATTTACAAATGCTAACAGTGAATTCCCCACGAGGCTCTGAGCTCTCCTCCCCCGGGACCCTCTCCCAGCACCGGATCCCCAGCGGGCAGGGACTCCGGCTCTAACCCCACCTGTCTCTGCTGCTGCCTTCCAGGGAGTTCCTTGCAGCAGTGCGGTACGGGCCTGGCTGGGGAGTCAAGGTCTGTCTTAGCCCTTTATGCTGTGCACGCCATGTCGTTCGTGCTGTGGGCCATCCTCCTGGCCGTGCTGGTTGCCAAGAGTAAGTAGCCAGAGTATCTTTGGGAGCATCCCGTAGGAATGGCCCTGGGGAAAAGCCGAGGGGTGAAATCCTCACTCCATAGTCGCTGTCAAATGCTTACTGCCTTCAGCCGGGTCGGGATCTCAGCCCATGAGTCCCAGGCCACTTCCCATCTAGTTCGCAGTGGTGACACGGCTCCTTCCCAGGGCCTGCCGCATGAGCAGGGACGTGGGGTGTTGGGTGATGGAATGTGTCCCCATGTGCAACAAGTGAACACAGCGTATGCGGAGGGGCCCTTTAGCAGCCACTCTACATAGGATAACGGCCCATCTACTCCTGCTAGCTGATGGAGTTGCTCCTGTCACTCAAGAGGTGTGTACAGTAGAGGGCTGGGATTCACGTTGTGCTGAGGAGCCTGTGTGGGGGGTGGTCACACACAACAGCCTCAGTGCTGCCAACTCTAGGTGGTGCTTGAATGAAAGCTCCAGCTCCAGCAGTCTTGTGATTAGGTGAGATGCTGAGCTCCCCTTTGAGAATGTGGGGACGGATGCTAGTTGCAGAGAACAGCTGGGGAAAGTGACGTGATGGTTCAGAACCCAGAAGGCAAGGAAAAGGAAAAGAAAGTTCATTATTTTTGGAATCTGGGTCTCCTGTATCCCAGGCGAGTGCTGTAATCTTGGGCTAAAAGTTACACGGTGGCAGCAGCATTTCCGCCCCTGCCTAGCTAGGGCCTACCTCGTTCCCACAAGATACTAGCTGGATACCTATGCCTGGAGAGGGGTGCCTAGATCCTTCTATTCCTGTAGCCTGGACTGGGGTGCCTAGCTCTGCGGGGAAAAGTGGGGGGCAAGGCTCACCAGTGTCCCCCATTGGCTAGCTTGTGCAGCTCCCACCAGCCTGCTGGGCTTTGTGGATTGCACTCCCAGTTGGGTTGTTCTCCCCATTCGTTGTATAGGAGCTTGGGCACTTGGCGTTGTGGGTGAGCCTGGGATTTCCCGGCGCCGTGATGCTCAGCTAATTGCAGCACCCACGTCACTCCGGCGGGCACCAGCAAGCGGGGGGAAGCTGGAGAGTAGAGATGCAGCATTTCTCTCTGACAACTCTGCTCCCCAAGCCGTATCAACAGCAGCTGGTGTCTGTTCTCCTGTCTAGGCTCAGAGATGTCCAAGGAGCTGGAGCAGTTGCGGACTGATCAATCCCTGCTGAGAGGCAACGGTAGCAATTCAGCTTCCTCGTGGCTCTCGGTGGAGCTGTTTACTGTTGTTGGCCCTTTGATGGAAACCAAAATCTGAGGCCTTGGCGGTTTGCTCCTTTGGGGGAGCAGTCACTGCTCCCCATCGGACCTTTTCTCAGGGTGACCTTGTTTAAATCCCTCCTCCGTTTTGCTCCGGCCCACAGTAAGAATGGTACAAAGTTCCCCAGCACAGGGCAGGAACAAACAGTCACAGACTGGCTCCTCTCTTGGAAATCCCCTGTCTGCCCCTCCCGGGGCTTCTGTGCCCGAGAAATTCCATCTCTGCTTCCTGCCACAGTCACACTCACAACTCATAGACTCGTAGACTTTAAGGTCAGAAGGAACCATTATGATCATCTAGTCTGACCCCCTGCACAGTGCAGGCCACAGAATCTCACCTACCCCCTCCTAGAATAATCCTCTCACCTAGATCTCCGATATTGAAGCCTTCAAATACTTTGAAGGCCCCAAGATGCAGAGAATCCTCCAGCTGTGATCTGCGCCCCATGCTACAGAGGAAGGCGAAAAACCTCCAGGGCCTCAGCCAATCTACCCTGGAGGAAAATTCCTTCCCGACCCCAAATATGGCGATCAGCTAAACCCTGAGCATGTGGGCAAGACTCACCAGCCACACACCCACAAACTCCTTTCACCCTCCGCATGCTCTGGCTTCTCTGAGCCCCTGGGACTGCACCCAGGGCCCCACTCAGCCCACGGGGCCCTTTCCCACCATGCAGCTGGTGCCTTAGGCGGTCAGTTCCATTGTCTGCAGCTCGCTCCTTACTTCAAGGTGCTTGATTGTGCCTCTTGCTGTGTTGAAAGTGGGTGCTTGGCATGCCTTGGCTCCGGGTGCAGAACCTGCCCCTTTGCTACAGCCCTTGTCCTGTTGCATGAATGCCAATGCAAGCGGCTAGTGTCGACATGCTGGGATGGTGCAAAGCAGCATTCACACCAAGGGGTCTACCCCTGGTGGCCTGTGCCGTGCTGCTCCAGTCCACAGTGACTCCAGGAGAAATTTCCCCAAGCGAGCGGCTGTAACTAAACTCATTCACAAGCTCTCCCCAAGGGGGCTGGCCGCTGGGTCTGAAGGCGTGAGCCCAAGGTAGAGACTCTTGGAGCCCCAAGTTCTAATCTTGCCTCGCTACCTGGCCTAGGTTAAGTTGCTCTCCATCTTAGAGCTCATGGATCATCCTGGCCAAGGGGCAGGCTAAGGCAAATCCACCTGAGCAGTCTCTTCCCTGGGAAGGAAACCAGCCCTGGGAGGCCCCCATACCTGACAGACCCCCTCTGCTAGAGAACACGGCCTGGCCTCAGGAGATGAGCAGGGAAGGGAAGCTCCCAGCTCATCGCCTCTGTCTCTTCCAGGCTCCAAGGCAGCAAAGCAACTGCAGATGCTCCATTTCAACCAGTCCGCCATGCACAGCATTGGTACGTACCGGAGCCCTACAGAGCCGCCAGCCAGCATCCCCTCTGTGTGTGAGCCCCCGCACCCCAGTCATCTCCCTCCTCCCTCGACAGCTCCATTCCCTGCCCACTTCCCACCGAGCCCCGGGGCCCCAGGATACGCTCTCCCAGGAGCAGGGTTTGACAATGATCTAATGACACAAACCCAAAGACCCCGACCCCTGCCTGCCCCCTTCCCTGAGGCCACGCCCCTGCCCTGCTTCTTCTCTGAGGCCCCGCTTCCCATTCACTCCACCCCCCTCTCTCCCACCCTCACTCACTTCCGCCAGGCTGCGGCAGAGGTTGGGGGTGCAGAGGACAGGCTCTGGGAGGGAGCTTGGGTGTGTGGTGCGGGGGGATGGAGTGGGAGGAGGTGAGGGGGCGACACTTACTTCAAGTGGCTCCTGAAAAGAGCTGGCATACCCTTCTGGCAGTGGCTACTAGGCAGCGTGTGTTTCTCCGCACTGCTGCCCACAGGCACCACCCCTGCAGCTCCCATTGGCAGCAGGTCCTGGTCAATGGGAGTTGCGGAGTCTCTTTCTCTCTCTCTCTCTCTCTCTCATTCACTCACACACACACACACCCTCCTCCTCCCCCCCTCCCTTCTTCCCTCCCTCACTTGGGACATGCAGATAGGTAAGGGAACCTCCATTAGCCATGCTGCTGCACCAGAGGGTTTGGCTGAGAGGCCTCCAGGCAACAGCCTACCCGGCTGTGCAGTCACATCAAGCAAGGACTGTTTGTCTCTCAGAGGCAGAGCTGGCCATCGATCTGAAGAGGCTGCAGTCGGACCAGGCCCTGATGAAAAAAGAAGGTGAGAGCCTGAGACAGGAGGTGGGGGCAGGGCTCAGAGGAAAGGGTGGGGAAGAATGGAAATAAGCAG